CACACAACAAATCTTTCTTTAACGTATCTAATTCACTTTTAAATTTACTGATGTTTTCCATTTGTACTTCTTGCCACTGTTGTTGACTTTCCTGCAACTGTTGGATATTTTCTTCCTGTTCCCTTTCTTGTTCTAGTTGCCACTGTTGTTGACTTTCCTGCAACTGTTGGAGACTTTCTTCCTGTTTATTTTCTTTTTCCTCCAACCACTGCTGTAATTCCTCTTCTTGTTTCTTTTCTTTTTCTTCCAACTACTGCTGTAATTTCTCTTCTCGTTCTTCTTGTTTCTTTTCTTTTCCCTCAAACAACTGCTGTAATTTCTCTTCTTGTTTCTTTTCTTTTTCCTCTAACAACTGCCGTAATCTCTCTTCTTGTTTAATTTCTCGTTTTTCTTGTTTCTTTTCTTGTTTATTTTGTTGTCCGAACTGCTATTGTTGCAGGTTTTCTTGCAACTGCTGTTGTCTCTCTTCTTCTTTCTTTTCTTTTTCCTCTAACAACTGCCGTAATTTCTCTTCTTGTTTAATTCTCGTTCTTCTTGTTTCTTTTCTTGTTTATTTTGTTGTTCGAGCTGCCATTGTTGCAGGTTTTCTTGCAACTGCTGTTGTCTCTCTTCTTGTTTCTTTTGCTGCTCTTGTATTGCTGCCATCAAGTTTGCTAAACTGTAGTTTGATTTTCCGCCTCTCGTTTTCATTTTTTTTCATCCCACTTCTGACACCAATTTGTTGCGTCTCCGTTTGTTAATTAACTTTCCGTAACTTCGTTCCGACGAAACTTGCGACACAAGTTCTTTACTTAATAAAACTGGTTTATTCTTTCCGAATACAACTTTACCGATACACTCAACTTCAACAATCGCGCTAAACAAACGCTATAACAACGAACGTCAATAATACTTCTGACAGCAGATCAATTACTCACTATCTGCACACACGTTACATTCCCCTCTTTTATATAACAGCCTACCCTATCTAGTAAACACTAGAGCATTCGCCAAGATACGGGATAGTTCTAGAAACTAGAGGGCGTGAGAATGTTCACGTCATCTCGATGACGCAACACTATATCAAAAGCTTTTATATACCTATTGCAATACTTGCTGACATACAAAAAATATGGCATGCAATAAGATATGATAATAAAACATAAGTTGCATTTATTTTTGTTTGTTACAAAATACAGACAGGTCAAATATACTGGCCTGTTAATTGTATGAGAGTGTTGCACATTCAAATCTAATTTAACATACTGGTATAGGTTAGTTTCCTAGCTGACAATAAAAATTCAAATAACTCAATCTGCAAGCCAGTGAAAAATGGTGAAACATGGACTTTGTATTTCTTGTTCCATCCATTCTAGAGCATCAGTGAACCTAGCCTATATGTGATTGTCATATATAAAAGACTGTTTAGTGTAGGCAGAATTATTAATGAATTTATTTTGTGTTAATAATTCATTGATGTTGAGGTTATCAAACATTGTGTGCAATCCATTGATGTCGAAGCTATAGAGATTTGTAGAGGGCATAACGGTTGATGTGTTAGAGAAGCTATAGAGATTTGTAGAGGGCCTAATGGTTGATGTGTTAGAGTGAGATCAATAGTTTGAAAGAGGTAAGGAGAATCATTTGTCTTGTCAAATGTCCATTGATGTCGAGGCTATAGAGATGTGTAGAGGGCCTAATGATCGATGTGTTAGAGTGAGATCAATAGTTTGAAAGAGATAAGGAGAATAATTTGTCTTGTCAAAGGGTGTTCTAAGCTAATTGAACCCGCCTGTGTGAATTTTCATGATACAACTGCGGCAATTCACCCGACAGCGTAAGTGATTATATATGGATACTATTGAGATAAAAATAGAGAAATATAGTTAGGCTTGTCAACTGAATTCTAAAGCAATTGAATCGGCCTAAGTGGGCTTTTGACAAGAAGAAGAGAACTGTATAGTTTTTAAGATACGATTATGATCTCCATAGTGTAAAGAATTTTATATATACGTTTAACTTATTTCGAATATAAATATCATTTTAAAAACAAGTGGAGTGCGTGATGTTCGTTTATTGTCGAATTTATCGCCAACAATCACATACACCTATGGTAGAAGAATCCTTAGCCCTACACACCCATATACTTACATTACTTACTATATATATACTACTAAAAATGCAAGTTCTTGACAGTGATTAATACTCAGCGGCTCCATGCGTTTGTAACAGGCGTTATTGTTTAGGGAGTGGTAACCTGGAGAACAGAGAGAGCCTGTCGGCTTCAGTTTTCAGGTCTAAGCCAAGCCGAGTACAAGATCCAGGTTATATATATATAGATCAATAGTTTGTACTTGAAAATTACTGCAATAGTGGTCGAAAGTTGTACTCATTTTAATATAAAAAATTTCCAACTATTCACTGTAAGCTGTCAACGAATTTGAATATTAATATTCCAAAGGAAAATACTCATATTTGTAAGAAATTTAGTACTTTGGATTGCTTTTTTTGTTGTTGTTTGTTTGTTTTTGGTCCGCCAGTGAAATATAAGCCTACTTTTCATTTCTAACGATGGTACTAGTATATCAAACAATAACACTCAAAAGACACACAATGTCCTGTAACTGCTTTTCTAATTAAGATACAAGTGCATTGAAATAATTCCCTTAGCTGGTCGGTTTTAACTTAACAGATAGCATCTTTGAAACTGTAGTTGAAATAACTAAAATGGACAGTAAAAATTTTATTTGGCCCATGGCCAAAATTAAAAACTACATTGTTTCGGTAGCTTTACACTACCATCAACAGCTACGAAAACATTTTTTTTTTTTATTTTGGTCGTTTCCCAAATAATTTTTTTTAGATGTTGAACCTATTTTTAATTTCAACATTTATTGCACATGTTGCCTTACTTTAAAACTGTCTTTCTATTTGTTATAAATGATATAAAAGGAGGCGAGACAAGTACGTCTAACTTTGTGATTTATATCTCTGTAGAGAAAGTAGATTGAACGCTATCAGTACAAACTGTTTCTTACTATACTATAAAAGTGTAATTTACTCAGCGTTATAACAAAGTAGAAAATGCGCAAATTGGAGGGAACAAGAGTCACGTGATAAAGTTTGTGTTTATTGAAATATTTCCTATTAAGTTTAAAAAATAGATCTTATATAATATTAAAATTTACATTTTAAACTTCATTTATTATACCAAGTTTATTAACATACATTGAAAATAAAGTTGTTTTAATATATTTATTGTTAGTCAGTTTTAAGTGATTGGTTAGGTTGTGATGTTGATAGAACAGTATTTTCGAAGGTGAAAGGTAAGATCTTTCAGCATAGAGCAGTTATTAAAGTACAGCATAAAAAAATATGTTTTTATGATCTACCAGAGTAATAACTTAGTGATTTTAGTTTTACTGTAGCCTATACTATAACTGTATACTATAGACTATAGTACATTACTAGCCTGTACCGTAGTGTAGGTTATACTAAGTTATAGTTTATAGTTACTGCAAATTACATTGTACAGTGCTACTTTCACTAAAAGTATGAGTTTTGAAATTGATGGATTTTAATGGGAATGGGACTACGTATTATCCTGCCTAAATACAAGTTATACGCAGTTTGAGGTTACCAGGTAAAGCGATAATGTGATATCAATCACTGATATTTTGTTAACGTTATTCCAATCGAAAGGTTGATTTACAGATACGATTTTTAATTATTTTTCATTAATTATTAACTATATAATTGAAATTACAATGTAAATGTACTAACTTTTGATTGTGGAATCCAATGGTGTGTGTGTGATTATTTTTGTTATTTTCATTATTTAAAAATCACTGAAACCCTCTAAATTAGTAGTAGTACTACTACTAGTACTACTAATTCTAATACTTTTAAAATATAATTTTCATGTATCAAACACATAATATAATAACAATGGAAATTGTTTAATTTCTTAAATAGTTCTTAGTTGGTGGTAATACATTTGATGATGTACAGTAAATTACATAAATAAAACCATTCACTCATAAAAAGAAGCAGTTATTGTATAATGTCTTGTATAATTTTTGCCATCCATTCATATAAAAGGTACTGTTATGTCATTCCAGTGCATTCCACCAGAAAAAAGCACTGGTTGTATTTTTATTTTCCTGACAATGTTTCAAACAAACACTTCAAGCCAGAAACAACACTGTCAGTTAATTGCAACTACTGGAACATTTGGAAAGGAAATACCACACAAGACAGAATGTAATGCGAGATAGAACCATGAGAATTAAACTATATAGTAAAGATAGTATAATAAGGCTGAAGAAAATAACTGGTGAATAAAAATAAGGTAATAAAAATATAAAAACAATCATAAAGAGCAAGATTACAAAGCGTTGAAAGAAATAGTTATAACAATTTATAAGGTAATAAATACAATTTTATGAAAATACTTAACCATTTGTTAACATCTAAAGGACTTAAACAATCCTATTTGAAAATTATACCATTTTTGATATGGTTCTTTACTGATGTTGGAGGAGGTATGTTGTATATTAAGTACTTAAAAGTGCTGGAGGGAATGATCAGCTTTAATTGCTGAGCAACAGAAAAGGCTTATTTTTATCTTTATTCAGGATGCTACATAAGTGGTCTCACTTGAAAAAGTATTTGCTCGAAATGTCTCCAAGGAAATAAAATATAACAAAAGTTCTTTTTAAGGTGATTTTTCTCCAAAAGTCTAATTTCTTTAGTACTACTAGTACAAGTTTTTAGACAGAGACTGGAAAAACTAAAGCTCGCATATAATTATAAGTTTTTATATTATTTAATTCTTGACACTATATACATTCATTTCATGTTTCTGAAAGTAACATAAACATTACTTGCTGTTTAACATGTAATGAGTATTATAACAAATGTTGTTAAAAACTTCTCCATCAGTGGCATTTATTTACTATGAATATGGTTTAGTAATAATAATATTAGTATATAGGTTCATCTATCATATAACTTGAAATACTGCTTAAGTTGTCACTTCTTGTTACAAAAGATACATGCAGAAATTGTCTTTGCATTTATGTTTAACTTTATGTTCATAAATTTGTATTTTCAATTTCAGTGCTTGTAACTTTTAAAGAAAATACTTTTTCTGGAGCATAGTTTTCTTAAATATATATTATTAATAAGAACTTTTGAGTGAAAGTAGAGTGTATGTTGCATGTGACTAACAACGGAGTCTTCATACTTTCTGTTTTTTAAAAATGAAATTGTGAAACGTTTTTCAAGACAAATTCACAAACAATTTTCATAAAATGTCTAGGTATGTCATAGATGACAATAAGTTTTGTCTCCAGAATTTTCATTAAATATATAAAGTATATAAATGTTTCAACTAAATACTTTTCAAATACCAAACTTTTGCATAATTTTCTTAAAGATATGTATATGTAACATCACTTAACCATTGTACACTCTCCACATTCCATGTAAAAACAAAACAAAAAATGATCTATGATCAGCAGGTTTATATTACAGCTGCTAACAGTAAAATAAACATAGGAAATATGAAAAAGTTAGATATTGAAACTCGTAGGAGAAGTAATCTTATAGTCAATATTAAAGAGGATAGAACAGTATATATATGTATAGTTGGAGTAGAGAAAATACCAAATAAAACTTTTTCTGAAAAAATGTTTGATATTTATTTAGAAGATTTTAGAGATTATGCAAATGAAATTAGAAAATTTTCAGATGAAGAAAAGTGTTTTTAATCTTAACATGGAAATCACTTTGCACTCAGAGCAGTCAACATTATGACTCGATATATTCATGGATAAATTTTTATTAAAAATTGTGATGTTTTATTTACAAAAAACTTCTAATGTTTACTAAAAGTTTGAAAAATTTTGTGAAGATAAGCTAAACATTAAAAGTTATTGTAGGAAAACTCTGATGGTCACTTTGGGGTCATGTGGTCAGTGTAATCCACTGAGTCAATACTGAAAGAGTTAAACAGTGTCTTTTTCACTGTCATAGAGGATTCGAATTTTGTCTTGAGCCTGTTTTGTACAAAAAACTCTTTCACAATCAACATTTGTTGCACAGAAGCATAAAACTATTGGACATAATTTTGACATGTTAGGAAATTGATCACCATGCAGTTTTATAAATGCTCAGTTTTTGAGTTTTTTAGTGTGCTTTTCATATGCTTTTGAACCTAGGCTATTCATTTTGAAACAAATCATTAGTACTATTAGCTCTATAGTAAAACTTTTCTTCCATACCGGAGACTATTGGCTGTCTAGTAAAACCCTTCTTCCATACATTGAGACAATTAGCTGTTTATTAAATCTTTTCTTCCATTCCTTGACACAGTTAGCTGTTTATTAAAACCATTCTTTTGTATCTTGAGATGACTGGCTGTCTTGTAAAAGCCGTCTTCCATGTTTGACACAATTGTCTGTTTAGTAAACTCTTCTTCCATACCTTGTGACGATTGGCTGTCTCGTAAAACCATTCTTTCATACCTTGAGAATATTGTTCTTTAGTAAAACTCTTCTTAGTTTTGGAGCTTTTTCAAGCATCATTTGAAATTTTAGTGAGTTTATAGGTTCCATAAAAACCTTCATGATCAGTAATAGCCCTGTGTGCTAGATCTTCACCAAAAAACTTGTGTATGGATCCCAGATTATTGATAATGTTTCCATCTTGTTGTGTAAGCCTATCAATGATGTTACTTTACTCCTGAAACAGAAAGTTTTACACTTTTTATACAGCCATCATTCTGTTCCAAAGTGCTCATCATCTCCCTGAGGCTTGTAATCAATGTCATTTTAGTATTGTTAATATGTGTGTGTAGTGATTTAGCTGTTTCATCTGTTATAACCTAGGTCAGAAAGTGTTGCTACAATAGAATAACCACAATATACAGCATCAACTGTACTTCTCATGCTAAGCCCTCTAACTGTGTGTTGTTCTTTGATTTGCAATTCTTCGTTGTTGAAAATGTTACAAATTTTGAAGTTCTTATAGCAGAGCTGCTATAGGAATAATACAAACTGTTGAAGGCATGTTATACCAATTGCTGTATTTCACATTTGACAAATCATAGGATGATAAGCAAAGCACATGACAAAATGTTGTTCTCTAGATTTTACAATATGAATATGGGTGGTGCTTATTATAATAACTGCCATTTTATGTAGAGGTTGTATTTAGTATTTGTCAATAGTGCTTTTTATAAACCTTAGAAAACTTGCTTCTGGAAAAACTGCATGGGATGTACGTAATTTTTATTATTTTTCTATAGTAGCTTAAGTCATACTGTATCGTATAGCTATTTATATTAATCATTATATTGAAAAATTAACTCAAAATAGATATATTCTTTAGGAAAGAAGTTGATCCATGATTGTTAGGGTTAAGAGCTATCGAGTGACGAGTGCAAGGTCTTTACGTGAATTAAGCTTAGCAC